GATCTTGGGCATGCACGTACACGTACCCGGCGTGAATTTAAGCCACTTGGTCCAGGACTCAAACTGATCTACTACATGGGAGTCCAATGACAGCCATTACACCATCTGTTAGTCCCTCCTCTCAGAATTTTTTGCACGCATGTATATGTACCTGGGCATGATTTTCAAGCCACCCAGTCTGGGACTTAGACTGCAGTCAGGTATGTAGGAGTCCAGCACCTTAACCACTGCACCACCCTCTGACCCCACCTAATAGGGTATTTTTTGTTGTTGTTGTTAGGAATTATTCTATTTAACTTTATTTATTCATTCATTCTTTCTTTCATCATATTTGATGACCAGACAGGCACAGAGTGAGAGAAAGACAGAGAAAGAGAAAGTGAGAAAGCAAGCCGCTAGGTCCAGGACTCGAATCACAGTTGGCCATGTGGTAACCACCATGCCACCTGCTGGCCCCACATAATTGGGTCTTCATGCTACAATCCACTCCCAGCTTCAGCTAGTGCCAGGTGTACTCAGAGAGGACTCTGGACTTGAACCCAGTACCTCTCTACATGAGTTAGCCTCTTAAAGCATTGCATTACCACTGTATCACTATATGTCCCTGATGCACAGTGCTTTTTTAAAGCAAACAAGCAATTTTGTGTCTTAATTCTCTATTTTTAAAAAGAATTATTTAACTATTCATTTATTTATTTACTTATTTTAACTTGGCCAGAGAGGGTCAGAGTGATAGAGCAAGGGAAAATGAGAAAACAAGTCACCAGGTCCAGGACTCCAATGCATTCGGCCATGTGGCAGTCTACCTCTCTTAACCACCTCGCCACCTGCAGGCCCCAAGAGTCTAATTCTTTTTTGAAAGAAGTCAACTTTAGACCAACCACTCTTTTTTTAATTTTTTCTATAGGATTTTGCCATAGGGTGCATGAGCTCGCTGAAGAGAGATAGAGAGCAGAGGGGAGAGTGAGAAATCACCCCCAAGTGGGATAGCCACACCAATCCCTTCTCCAGTCCCCTCTCAGGGTTTTAGGCACACACGTAAATATACCTGGTATGATTTTCAATCCACCAGGTCCAGGATTCAACAATGGTTGGATATGTGGGAATCTAGCAACTTAATTGCCACACCACCTGCTGACCCTGTTTTTTTGTTTTGTTTTGTTTTGTTTTTTAATTTTCAAGAGGGTGTGTGCACTTCTCAAAGAGACAGAAAGAATAAACAAGAGAGAAGTAGAAAGCACTCCCTATGGGGAATGGTCACATTGGAGTCCCTTCTCCATTTCTCCTTTTAGGATTTTGGGTATGTGCACACAACCTTGGAAGGTTTCTCACTCTTGGGGTCCAAGACTCGAACTGTACAATTAGCCATGTGGGATCCAATTCATATAACCACCAGGCTGTGGGCTAACTCATAAACTAACCACTCTTAAAATTGTTTTTAAGATAGTTACATTTCAACTTATTTAAAATAACTTCATAAAACAAGTTACTTTGTATTTATTTGATGTTAACAAAAATACCCAGAGGTGGAGCTGGCAGGTGGTATGGTGGTTAAAGGCGCTGGACTCCCATGTGGCCAACCATGGTTCAAGTCCTGGACCCAATAGCTTCCTTTCTCACTTTCCTTCCCTCTCTCTCTCTGTCTCTCTCTGGTCAAATTGGAAAACAATAATAAATAAAGTTAAAGTAATTATTAAAAAAAAAATACTCAGAGGGAACATTCCAGGAAATAGCATTGCTCTAATCTACTCTGGTCTGGTATTTTGCTTTTAATATACCTAAACCAGATTATTGCCAGATTATATTTAAAACATTGTTTAAGAGTTGACTTGTATTTTAGTTAGGCTTTATCGAGTTCAAAGAACACAGATTCACTCAAGCTTAAAAAAAATAAATATTGGGCCAGCAGTTAGTACAGAGGTTAAGGGAGCTGGATCCCCAATGACTGATGGTGTGGTTCATGTCCCAGACCCAGCGACTTGAGAAATATGCTCGGCTTGTGCCGGAAATCCTGAGAATGGAAGAGAAGGGATTGTGGCATGGTCATCTCCCATAGGGGACATGCTTTCCCATTTTCCTCCTCTCTCTTCTGTCTTTCTCCAGTGAGCACTCATGCTACAGCAAACTAAAAAGAAAAAGAAGACCCTGTTGGGAATGTTATCCCTTTCTTTCTTATGAAAGAAATACAATTTAAAAATGCCTCTTTCAGCTTCCCTCCTCTGTTCAACTTCTCTTATAAATTTTTTTCTATAAACACTATCACAGTCTGTATTCTTTGTGTTTTAAAATATTTTATATATACATATGTATTGTTAAACCTTTATGCAAGGTGATGAGGAATGTAAATGCTAACTTTTTAGTTAAAATGTAATCTTTTTTTTCCTCTTAATTAGCTTTGCATCTTTTTCCTAAATGCATGTTGTACTTTTTCTTTCAGAATCTTTGAAAAATGGCTCTACTACAGTTGGTGGGAATAAAGTTTATTCTTTTCAGAATAGAAAAAATTCTGAGAAGATGACTAAATTAGGTATGTTGCTTTTCTGATTTCTGTAATCACTGTTTAACTTTTCTAAGCTATATTTAACAATATTCATCAGAGTTATTCTGTTGTATTCCTGAAAGAAATGATGGGAGATTCCCTAAGTTCTAGGGAATGATGAGACATTCCTAAAAAAGAATAATGCTGCTTTATATTATATTAAATACACTTCAATTCTTTAATATTTTATTATTATTTTTTAATGCTCAGATGCCTTTTGTTCTCAGACTATAATCTTGTCAGTCTTTATTTTTCCTTTATTTTTCGACAGTATCTAGTTCATATTCTTAGAAATTTTTGTGAAAGAATGAGTGACTTAAAAGTCACAAAGAGATACTCTTTATTTTATTGAATTGAGTTTTATACTGTGTATAGAAAATATGCTGTTTGTGTTATACGGTATTATTAGGTCATCAGAAGGTCATCAGAAAAGTCGTGACATGTTTTTCTATGCAAAAATGTGTCACAACTTTTCCAAGGACCCATCATTTCCATGAAATTGTTAGGAATGGTCTGTTCTGACATTTCTTGTGCAGGTTGACATCCCCTACCAATTACATTTGTATTGCTGATTTTCAGAGAAACAGTTTATAATAAATTACAATTAACATTAAAATTAAACTGTCAATTAAATTCTTTTGTTTTTTTCTTTAGAGATTTTTGCCTTGGGGCATGTGGGCTCTTGGGGCAAGGGGGGACCAGACACAGTGAGAGGTAAAGTGAGAATTCCGCTCCCCCTGCCAGGAAAGATGGCCATGCAGCAATCCCTTCTCCATTCTCCTCCTGGAAACTTGAGCATGCAAGTGCACATGCCCAGTGTGATTTTTTTAAGCCGCCCAGTGTGATATTTTTAAGCCACCGGGTCTGGACTCAAACAGTGGTCAGCCATGTAGTTATAGTCTAGTGGTTAAGGGAGCTAGATCCCACATGGTCGACCATGGCTTGTATCCTAGCCCTGGCAGCTTGAAAAACATTTCGGGTGCATGTACATGTGTGTCCAGAAATCTCAGCAAGATTAACAAATGGAAGAGAAGGAATTGTTGCATGAGTACACCTGTTGGGGGATGCTTTCTCCCTCTTCTCTCTTTGTCTCTGGTGATTGCATATACGCTGGCAATTAAAAAACAGAGAAAAAACAGGGACCAGAAGATGGTGTAGTGGTTACGTCGCTGAACTCCCACCATAGTTTACCATGTTTGAGTCCCAGATCTGGTACCTTAAAACTCAAGCTGGGCACATGTGCATGCGCGCATGCCCAAAATCCAAAGAGGATCATCGAGGAAAAGAGATTGAGGTGTGTCCACCTCCCCAGGGGGTCATTTCTTGCTTTCTGTCTCTCTACTTCCCCCAAAACAAAAAACTCCCCCTCAAAAAAAAAAAAAAAAAAAAAAAAAAAAAAAAAAACCACAGACAAAACCCAAAAAAGGCAGATCACCACTTTATTTGGATCTTGCAATATAAGACAGGTCATCATTTCTGAAAGCTTTGAGGTATAACTAATTGAATATTGCTAATTTTGAACATAGCATGTGAATACAGCAATTTATATTAATTTCAATTTATAAGAATGAGTGGACTCTGTGTAGGAGCTCTGACAAACCAAAAAGAAATGCTAATATAATTATTAGAGGAAGCATCAAATGGACAAATACAGATTGAAATTCTAGGACAGTGGAGTAGGACAAGGAACATCAGAGAAAGAGAACTACTAGTAGGACAAGGAACATCAGAGAAAGAGGAGAACTACTAGGTGGCGTGGTGGTTAAGGACACTAGATTTTCACATGGTCTACCACAGTTCAAGTCCTGGCTTGCTTTCTTACTTTCCTTCTCTCTCTCTCTCTCTCTCTCTCTCTCTCTCTGTTCCTCTCGTCAAATTAAAAAAAATAAATGAATACACTGGGGCCAGCAGGTGGCCTGGTGATAAGTCGCTGGACACTCCCACATGGTGAACCATGGTTCAAGTCCCGGGCTTGGTAGCTTGCTCTCACTTTCCTTCTCTCTCTTTCTCTCTCTCTCTCTCTCTCTGGTCAAATCAAAATAAATGAATAGATAAATAAAATTAAATAAGTAATTATATTAAAAATGAATAAATGGATAAATTAAATAAAATCATTCTTGAAAAAAGAGAACTACTAATACAAAGAAGAGTGAAACCCACAGGAGTAATCAAGTAATTCCTCTTGTGGATAATCTTATGGATTGGCACATAATTTAGATAATGTTTTATGTATGTATGCTCTGCAAAAAACTGGAATATTGTTCTCATACTGTGCTTTTCTGTCATCACATCTGAAAGAAAAATAGAGAGTCTTAAAAAGATAGTTTTCTGAGTCTAGCCCATGGCCCTGGTGGTTAAGGGAGGAAAAAAGTACAAGTTTATAAAAACACTAGATGAAAAAGTCTTACAGTGATACATTAACAAAAATAGAATTTTTATGCAATGTCAGCAAACTGAGAATACTGATTTTTAACTATGCTGAAATGATAGAGTCATATATTCTCTCTCTCTTTTTTTTTTTTTTTTGGCACTGCCAC